TTGAGAGGAAAATTATAATAGTATTTTAATGTTATTGTTGGTTGGTGTTTACTAGATAAAGATTTACTGCATCTATTCTAGAAGAGAAAAAAAAGGTTTCTTCGGATGTAGTATACGTATTTGTTTGACTTGGATTTGTTTAATATAGACAACATCACTTAATATTAAATATCATTTTGTTTGAATGTTGTTTCATTAGAATAAATTATATTGTTTGATAAAAAAAAACAATATTATTTAGAGGACATATTGTTTAGTTTTCAATAAAAGAACAATTTATTTCATTATATATTAAATATCGTTTCACTGAGAAACAAAAAATTTTTTAAATATTTTTCTAATCTTTTTCTAACATAATGTTACTTCTTTCAAATAACTTATTACTTGTGATAACCATTGTAATGTCTAGATGAAAATATAAAAAAAATATGTTATTTAACATAAAGAAAAAGATATTTATTGAGAAACCAAAGTCCTGTTTTTTTAATCAGATATTATTTGTTTGCTCTCTTCTAAAAGACAAATTCGCCGAACAAATTGGATTAAATCCAAAGAAATCCTTTTCTCTGTACGGCCAATCGTCGCGATCCGACGTTCTACCCTGCGAAAACAGCGGGCGCAAGTCGAAATGGAAATCGTCACCTCTCCCTTCGAACAATTCCGCGTTGTTCGTCTCGCTTCTACAGAAATTGCTGGATTCTGCGAGGCAGACGCGCTTAACACGCGCGCCTGATGATCGCCGGTGTGACGCGCGTACGTGTGTGTTTAGGAGCGGCCCCGACGCGCTTAGAGAATTTACATATGTATATAACAACTGCGTTTAACGAGCGCACAACGTGGTGCTGCACACAATCCACTGTTCTCGAGTCGTGTCCGACCGCCGCGCAACTGCGTCACACACAAACATATATGCGCGCGTGCGTTTATAACGTTATTGGCTATTTTCGCAGAAGCGTAACTTCAATTACGCGCATCGCGAGAAGCATCCGCGGATCACGCGAACGGAAGATTATATTCCGGCGGCGTTCCGTATTAATGTCGTGAGATAACGCGCAAACACGTCCGGATGAATTGGCCGCGACGCGAGCCGGAAATTTCAGTGAGTCGGCTTCTGAATTTCTGAAGGGTCTCTCTTTCTCTCTCTCTCCCTTCCCCTCTTTCGAGAATACTTGAAGTTTACTCAGGCTCCCCCCAGGAAATAACACGACCGACTGCCGAACAAGAGACGCTCGGAAGCGCACGAGTGTTGTTCACTTTTGTATTCTCCGAAGCAACAACACCGTGTGTGTTTTTCTTCCCCGGGCATATTGAAACACCGTGATGATTGATTTTCCGTCTCTTTAGGCGCGCTTTTCTAAAGAATGACGCACCTGTTGGCGATCGTTAAGCCGCGCGGGCCCTTTGGTCCCGCAGGTAGGAACACCCGGAGAGCCGCGCGCGCGTATTATCCGAGACGAACCCTCTTTAGGAGCGCGTCTAATCGCTGACGATGATCTCTCCCTTTCAGAGAGCAAGCTGGACCAGAAGTTCCACTCGCCTAACCGCTTTCGGCTCTCCTTCGACCTCAGCAAGGTGCCCGACGAGGAGACGCTGCAGGCGTCCGAGCTGATTCTCTCGCGCGTCCCGATGACCGATATCAAGGAGAAGCACGGCCGCGTGCTGGTGTACGACATAGTGCGGCCCGGCGTGAAGGGTCAACGGCAGCCGATACTGCGGCTGATCGACAGCAAGGAGATCGATCTGACAAAGAACGCCACGGTCAGCCTGGACGTCCACCCGGCGGTGGTCAGATGGATGCAGGACCACCGCGACAACCACGGCCTGCTGGTGCACGTGATCGGGCCGCAGGTTCGCAAGCGGGAGCACGTGCGGCTGAAGCGCGCCTCGGACGAGCACGAGGACGCGTGGCTGGTGAGGCAGCCGATGCTGTTCGCTTACATGGACGACGGCCGCTACGAGATGGCGTCGGCGCATCAGATAATGGACCGGCGGGCGAGGCGCGCCGCGATGCGGAAGAACCGGCGGAAGGACGGCCGTGAGAATTGCCGGCGGCATCCGCTCTACGTCGACTTCGCGGACGTCGGCTGGAACGACTGGATCGTCGCGCCGCCCGGATACGACGCCTTCTACTGCCACGGTGATTGCCCGTTTCCTCTGGCGGACCATCTGAACTCGACGAATCACGCGATCGTGCAGACGCTCGTTTACTCGACCAAGCCGACCATGGTGCCGAAGGCGTGTTGCGTGCCGACCGCGCTCAGCTCGATATCCATGCTCTACTTGGACGAGGAGAACAAGGTGGTGCTGAAGAACTACCAGGACATGACGGTCCTCGGATGCGGCTGCCGCTGAGACATCTATCTTCTTCTTCTTCTTCTTCTTCTTACCGACATCTCCGCGCAATCCCTCGAGAGAGGAACGAGCGGAGGGTGAGAAGAAGTGGGTGGACCATAGAGGAAAGACGACGATTCGCTCCTCCGCTCGCGCGAGACTCCCGGCTCCGTATTCTCTCTCTCTCTCTCTCTCTCTCTCTCTCTCTCTCTCTCTCTCTCGGACGCGTCTCTGTCGTCGCTATTTTTGTTGTGGATGTATCAAATAAAAGGGAAACATGCGAGAGTATGAAAGAATGTATATGTCGTTTATGCTTCGAAAAAGAAAAAAAAACAAAAAAAAACAACGGACGGATACGAACTTATCCACCACAGCGAGAGCAGCGACGAGTGTCGAGGTATAATAGCTCTCGGTAGAGACGAGATATAAGAGAGATAGATGTAAAATTGCGAGCGACGCGTCTTGCGATTCCGATGACGGCGGGCGGGCCAGGCGGATCCGTCAAGATCACCAGCCTTCGCGATTCCGCCTTCGCGATGTATGTGTAATCGGTAGGGCCAACTCGAGATGACGATTATTGACTCATCGGTCGGCGATGAACGAGGAAAGCGAGTATCGAATAATGCGAGGCGATCAGCTCCTTCCGAACTCGTCATCTCGGGTTGAAAGTTCGAGCGGCCGACTGGGAGCGATTGGGAGCAGCCGCTACCGCGATTCGCCGCCCGGGCCGATTGAGCACGCGACGATAATGAGAGCAGCGGTAGTTTAAACCCGGCCACAGCCGGGTCTAATTGAGACAATGACGGTGGGATGAACACCTCTATCTCATGAACAATAGGAGACGATCGGCCGGTCTAATTTCGCGCATTATAACGTCCGCCCAGTTCGCCGCCGCCGCGAAATGTGCATCGTTCGAATCTCTCCGTGACGCGGAAGACCGAAGCCAGGCCAATGAAGGAGGAGAGTGTGCTCGTGCGCGCGCGCCAGTGTGTGTCACGCTGCTGCGTGCTGCATTCCTCGCCCTCTTCTCTCCGCCACCAGTGATTCTCATACTTCCGCACGGAAATGGAAACGGTTCGCGTAGACTAAGCGAGCAGACGGCTAACCATGCGGCGCGCGCTCGTCGTTCTCTCTTCTCGAGGCACTAGAAATGATTCCGCTTCGCTTGAGAAGGAAAATGCGAACGCTCGACGGCGCGTCCGTCGCGTCCGGAAGGATTCGACGTCGACATCTTTGCGATTTCGAAGGAAAAGTGCGACGAAAAAACGCGATCGATTAATTTTATACCATAATGTATCCTCTCTCTCTCTCTCTCTAGATAAATTGCGTTCAACGACGAATGATATTACACAATGTTGACGCAATTTAACTTCTCTTTACTTTTGTTTTTTCTTCTCTCTCTTTCTTTCTTTCTCTCTTTTTCTCTCGTACGCTTGCGTATTCGCGAATCCACATTTAGGCGCGTTTATAGAGATTTCTCAATGTAAGTTTATCGCGAACAGGGAGATGATAAGTGGCGTAGGTAACGACAGATCGAAGAGAATAAGAGAATATACTCGACGAGGTGATTTCGGCAAAGAATGCGCATCACTGGTAACTGCACACTGCGATACACTGCGAGAGGCACACACACACATATACCCACAGACAGACAGACACCGTAACACTTCGGCGAGTAAGCAACGCGGGATCACGTGTCGGAAATGCATAATTGACTAATGGTAACGTGTAATTTCGACGATTTATGGAAATGCCTTTTCTGCGCGCTCACTCGTGCGCGCACGCGACGAAGCTGTCACCAATGCGACGATGCTGACTTCTGTCTATTCCGTATCCGATAATGGCACTCGTCGTGTGAAGAATTCTTGAATGTTAAAAACATTCCGCAGTCGATGGATCGCGTTGACGTTCGTGTCTGATCGCGAGATCGCCGTAGCACAGTAAACGTTTCTAAAACTGCGAAAGGACAGGACAGCCAAATTGAACGGATAAAATTGGTGTGCACGCGCATCATCGCAAACCATATACCATATTATATATCTGGACATATATAATGTATTATTCTCTTTTTCCCCCGCTGACAGACGCGAGAGTCAATGTATACACATCTTATATAAGATCCTGCCGCCACGAATAAATTGTGTACCTGCCTATGAGGATTTTACTCTATTTATTTTTCTTCTCTCTCTCTCTCTCTCTCTCTTTTTCTCTCTCTCTCTCTTTCTCTCTACGTTTCTTTTGCCAAAAGATCTTCAGCACGCGTGTATATTTGTACAGAAGTGTTAATTGATAAGCGAGAGCGCCGTTGTAAAATGTGTATAATAGGTAAAATAAAAACGAGCCTGTAAACAATTGTAAATAATACGTTGTAAAGAGTATTTGTGTGCGTATGTATATTCTCGCATATCTCATTTTCTTCCCCTCCCCTCCCCCCTCCCCGCAGAGCCCCCCGAATTCTCCCCACGACTGTATACAGAGAGATTGCGTGTGTAAATATTGAATAAATTTGATATGGCAATTGACACACCAGTTTATCTGATCTCTTAACACCTTTCCGGATATTGTTCGTTCGTAACGTTATTCCTTCGTGTGAAACGAGGAGCAACGTGGATCTCGAGCAGTTGTGCGATCTTCAATTTACACACACATACACACACATGTACGTACACGCTACAGATGAACCAATCGTTGTTTGAAAAGCTCATTTAGTTTGATTTTATTTATCACAGAAATTACACGGTTAAAGTTAATAAAAACTGCTCGAACTTCGACGGAGCGAGCGAATTGAGTACACAATGGCCGCTCGTAATTACAACACATTCCATCGCTTGGCAGCTTTGACTCCGAGTTCGGGTTACTCGAAACCTCATAAAAACATGAACCCGAACGCACGAAGTGGCTATCGCAGCGATATGCTATTTATCGTCTATAAAGTGTACAACGCGTTGAATACAAAAACGGAAACCCGAAACTGTCGCCCCTCCGCGGGAATTCCTTTTACACACGCGTAATAACACGTCATTGTTTTAGTATCATCCGCAGACATCCGCTCCCGTCGGTAAAGATAATTCCGCCCAGAAAATCACTTTCTCGCCTCTCCACGGGAAATTCTGCGTATCGTAAAAAGGCAATTTTTTCCTCTCTCTTCTCACACGAATCCTATAATTATTGAACTGTATAAACAATAAGCAATGTATATAAATCGCACGTCAATATAATCTTTCGCGAGACTCTCTTCTACGGAATTTCAAGCTTATGTATGCCGCACATACATACTGCTGCGTATGAAAGTGTACGCGATATATACGGTACTTTACATTATTTACGACATTTTCAGCATACTTTGTACAAGAATATTACAAGAAACTTCGATTCTTCGTGGCGACTCGTCGAGCACTCGTCAACCTTGATTCAATCCAGGTCCGTGCAGCTCTATGAAGCTTTCGAGGCAACGTGGCACGTTACCGGCATAAGACAGGTTGTAAGCCTTCACCGCTTTGGCTGCCATACACTTTAGGGACAATTTAGTCTGTGATCGTAATATTATTTCGGCTACGCCTGCAATGCAAGTGGAATGTCGGTCAGATAACTTGCGAGCTCCCCGCCGACGTTTGAGTTTGTCTCCGATGACTCGACTGTAAAATTATACCTGTGGTGACCGCATCGTACGGCGTGTGCCCCCTGTTATTTACAGTGTCCATATGCGCCCCAGCTTCTATGAGCTCCATTATGATTGAATGCAAAGTCGAGAAGTCGCTGAGAAATTTAAAACATTATATATATTGGATTCTGTGCGCATCTCTGTGAATGTGCGCACAATCCCCGGCCGTATTATTAGAGGCACTTGGATTTTTTAATAGAATACAAATTAGGAGGAGAAGAAAAGCTACTAATATTATGTTTACTCGATTAGAATAATTTTCGGTGTCAAATCAGCTCAGCGTTTTTACCTCTGCAACCTTCTGAGATGTCAAATCACTTGTTTTACCCATAATTTTTGCAAACAATATTAATATTTTTCATGCAAAAATTAATTTTTCTGTTAATGAGCAAGGGATTTCAAGTCGCAAATAAACAAAAATAAAACTAAATTTCAATTGACACACACAAAACTCACGTCTGTTCTCGTTATTACCAACAATGCAACTAGCGCGGGTTCATACCTGCTCAAGGTCATTGTAACAGCCAAGTGAACGACGCCATAAAAAAAAATCTTTTATAGAATAATGATTGCTTAACCATAATTCGATCGATAGATGAGTCGTATTGTAAAACTGGTCCTTGGAAGTGAATGAATTGTAAAAAATTAAGGTGCGTCTAATAATACGACCGGGCGGGGACTGTTATGCGACATAAAAATCGTAGTCGGGTACCTGATTGATTTACTGTAACCAACAATAATGTGGAGCGGCGTGTTTCTCTCATTGTCCATTGCGTTCACGTCCGCGCCGCAACGAATCAATAACTTCGCCGTGGCCGCACACGGAAATCTAGAAACCGAACGTGAAATTTGCTCGAATAAAAGGTTGCGCTGAATTGTAGAAATTGTAGAAATTAACTATTCATTGTGCCACCCTCTCTCTTTCTCTCGCTCTTGACGTACTTGCAAACATCGTTGGTGTGAAAATCGTCGACCGGAGTTTCGGCATTTACAGCGAGATGCAACAGAGTCTGTCCGTCTTTCAAGCATACGCGCAGCGCGCACAACTTGTGCACCAAATGGTGCGCCTTAGTCAAATCCGATTCATCACATCTGTTCCCGTTTAGCGTCATCAGTTTTGTCAAAATCGTTAAGATATACAAGGTCGTTGTGATGTTCGACTCCATCTCTTCCTATGCAGATATTACTTCTAAATATGTGGAGCTATATTTCTATGCTTATCGCACAGTGAGGCCAGGCGCACATTGAGACGCAGACGGCGCAAGGCAGCAGAACAGGGTAACGCAGTTTTTGTAACTAGATTCTTCTCAATTTTTCCACGTTCTTTTCCCAGGAATGGAAAAATTCATTTGGGAAAATTCACATGTGTTGAGTGTTAAAAACTGGCCTGCCACATTTGCTTCTTTCTGTAAAGAAGATAATTGCGTGCGCTTAACTGAAGTTAAATGAAAAGTTAATGTAACATGTAACATAGTTAAGCAACATATAACATATTAATTTCATTTAACTTCACTTTAAGCGATATTATTGCCTGACACATAACATATTAACTTAACATTTAATAACTTCAATTAAATGCACGTAATTATCTTGTTTGCGAGAAGAAACATGTGTGGCAGATTTTAACCGAACACGCGTGAATTTTTCTAGGCGAATTTTTATCCACCTTTGGAAAAGAGATCGAAAAGATCCGCGGAGAAATGAAAAAATCCCGGCTTTCTTTTACTTGTATGGGCGCGCATATTGAGATGCAGAGCGGGACAGTACAGAAATATCCCGCGCAGCGCCGTCCTGCTCTGCGTTTCAACATGCACGAGTCCACATATAAACATATTGAAACTTATAAGAAACTGCGCTGCGCTGTTCTGCACCGCCTGCGTCTCGATACGCGCCCGGTCTGAGCGACGCAGGCACTGCGCGTGAGACGTTTCTGTCCCGCTCTGCGTCTCAATATGCGCGCGTGTTTATGTAAACTTAACGGTTACGAAAAACTGTGATCCGCTGTGCTGTGATGTCCTGCGCCGCCTGCGCCGCCTGCGTCTCAATGTGCGTCTGGCCTGAGAGGGGACCACGAGTAAAGTAAAGTCGGAGGTGGATCGAGATGGATCTGCATCGAACTTACAACATACTGCTCAACGTCATCCCTCAGCTCTGGATTCTGTATCTTGGCTTTGTTCTTGCTCAATTCCGTCACGCTCGCCTCCAGCACGTTTATCACTTGTGAGAGATCCAGATCGACACCCACGTGTATCATTTGCGAGAAGACCTGCGCGAATCGAAGAAGATCCGTCACGACGGTTATGTTGTTCAGCTGCCTCAGTTTCAGAGCGTGCAGCCACAGATCGATGCATCGGTCGAATCGGGCGTTATCCGCGAATATAGCGCCTCTGAACACTATAGGATGCGTTAATTCCGGGTTGTGGAGGCCTGATGAGGAGATATTAAAATACGTTATGTAAATAATGAGATAATATAACTAAGGTAAAAAATAACGGAAGCGTATATCCACCTAATATCCTCTCCCGGATAGTAAGCGACTCCATGTGTATGGCGTTGGGATTGTTTTTGATACTTTCTAGTCGTTCTAGCGTTTCGCATTCTTTCCAATTGTCGTATGCTTTCACAGTTGAACCTAGTTGCTTATATACAATATTATTAGTATCGCTATACCTGGGACATAAGAAAAATAACAGAGATGTAACGAAAACTAGATGTCGTGATGCGGCAAAATAAAGAGATACGGACCAGCAAGATATCGGTCTTTTCCCTCACCTTAATTCCATTGACTGGTGCAGGTACTTATACGCCTTGATCAGGCAGTAACTATCCTTATCGTTAGCGTAAGACGCTCCGAGTAGTTCGTAAGCGTCTATTATCTCCTCTTTTGTCATTTCCTCCCTCTTCACTAGGCACTCGACCACTTCGGCGCGCGTACGTTCGGCGGCCGCTATCAAAGGCGTCATACCGCTCTCGTTCTTTGTCATTTTCGTTCCGTACTTCAACAATTCGTGGACAATCGCGGTGTGCCCACACTCGGCGGCAAAGTGTAACGCTGTTGCTCCACAATGCGCTTTCTTGTTAGGGTCCGCTCCTTTGTCCAACAGGAAATTCACCTGATACATTATATATAAGATGCTTCAGATATTGAAAATAAAACAATGTAAATAGGTATGGAACAATAACACAATCTATCTTGAATTATATATATGTATATAGTTCCTGGCCATATTATTAGACGTATTTTGATTTTTTAATAGAATACAGATTACGAGGAGAAGAAAAGTTATTAATTTTATATTAGAATAATTATCGGTGTTAACAGCGCTTTTACCTCTGCAACCTTCTGAAGTGTCAAATCACTTGTTTTACCCATCATTTTTGTAAATATTAATATTTTTCACACAAAAATTTATTTTTCCGTTAGTAAGCAAGGAATTTGAAGTTTCAAGTCACAAATAAACAGAAATAAAACTAAATTTCAATTGACACACATTCAAAACACATCTGTTTTCGTTATTATCAACAATGCAACCAATGCGGGTTTATACGTGTTCAAGGTCATTGTAACAGCCGAGTGAAATGGTATCATTAAAAAAAAAAAAAAAAAAAAAAAAAAAAAAAAAAAAAAAAAAAAAAAAATCTTTTTGCAGAGTAATGGTTCCTTAACATAATTCGACCAATAGATGAGCCGTATTGTAAAATTGGTCCTGGGAAGTGAATGAATTGCAAAAAATTAAGGTGCGTCTAATAATATGGACAAGGACTGCACATGGGGCAATATAGGGCAATCATCCTCACAACATCAAGATGTCCTTTATACGCTGCTATCATAAGGCAAGTATTGTTAAATTTGTTGGAAATATTTATATCTGCCTGGTGATCAGTTAAATATTTCACGATATCTAGACGACCGTCGAAGCACGCCGCTCGGAGTGGGGTGGAATTGGTTTTTGTCGGATGGTTCACATTCGCTCCTGCTTTCACGAGGGTCTTAACGACATTTAAATGTCCTGCTCCTGCGATCAACGCGTATCACAGAAATGATGGAATTCTGTTTTCTATTATTTTCTATTATTTTGTGACCGTACCTGCTGCAGCCCACAACGCACTAGCTCCTTCAATGACATATCCATCAAACTTAACCGTTCCTTCTTGCTCCAAGTCAGGCTTAAACTTGTCTAACAACATTCTAACTACCTTATCATGTCCATAACGTGCAGCGATGATCAAAGCTGTACAACTCTGTCCATCTTCCTCTAAAATTTTCTGTAAATATAAGAATAAATATTGCTTCATATGCACAAAAACGCTGTATTTTTTAATTATATATATTATAATATAATATACAAGTTGTGATCACACATAGATTGAAGATTTATGACATTTTGTAGTTTATTAAAGCCTAACAATAATAATTAAATTAAATGATATTTTTCTCATTACGATAAAAATGAAACTGCAAATTTCGCTATAAATATATTTATCTTCCTTTGTTCACATGTACACGTATGTATATATATCTCATGTATCTAAGCATGTTGCAAGTTGTCCTAAATAATTTCTTTTAGATGTACTACAAACTTATGTAGGTTTTAGTGTCACAATGCTTATGTAATGACAACTTCCACAAATTTCAATTATTAGAAAAATAATTGATTCCTGGACACGTATATCTAACAACAGTCTTAACCTACTATCGAGTACTGAGCTCTGAAATTATATAGTTAAAAGTAAAATACAACACAATAAGAGAGAGAAATAAAACTAAATATTGCGTAGTTCTCTCTGAACAAAGAACATTTACATAGAGAGAAATGATAAATTTTCCTATTTTTTCTACATAATCCATTTTTTCATATGAGAACAAATTTCATCAAGTAATGTTAATAACAGATCATCCGGCCGCATAATATCTATGTTTACGATATCTAGAACAGCGTTGCAAAATAACGCGACGGCTGATACGTTATTCGTGGCTATAATCAAGTGACATTTATACGAGAGAAATGACGCAACACGAGTATAATTTGTACCTGGTTGATCAGACGATTGACGTCGGCATCCGATTTTTCGTTGAGCAATGTGTAAAGGGCGATCGCCATTCCATCCTTCGCCGAATAATAAATCCGCTTGGCCAGCGACTGCTGGAATTCGTCGTCGTCTATTATCTCGCTCGCGGTGTCCATGGTTAGCGTGCCTCCTCGTCGTGCAAGACAATGCGTCTCGATGGTCGAGCAATCTCAACCGAAAGCGAACCCAGGAACGTGGTAACCTCAAAACTCATGTTCCTCGCTGCGTTCGCGAGCGTATGGGAAATACATCACCACGCCGCTGCCGCCGCCGCGCTCTATTTTAAGAGCGTCGCACGCGAAAATATATCAATTCCGATGTAAAAATAACACGAAGAACAAAGCGTTTTTGCACCGCGTGTGCCTCCTTTGTTGTCCCGAGACATCAATGTCGGGGGGATTTCCGCGCCAGTCCCTCGGAAAGGCGAAAAATCGAATTTACAATCGGCCGTTGCTCAATCGAGAAATAAACGTCCGCCCACCAAACGTCCGTTCATTCATCGCGTCCGAGAGCTTCTCTCTCCTTCTCTCTCTCTGTTGTTTATATTTGAGATAACGGACTCGTTTCTCGCCTCCTCGCCGTGGAATACATATCAAACGCGCACCACGCGTGATAAAGCGAGCGGAGTGTCGCGACGATGAGTGCTCGCGGACTGCGTTGATTGGTACTTCGTGCGCGCCCGGCGTGATCGACTCCGCGAGCGCGCCAATGGTGTCGCGCCGTTGAAACGTTCGATTTTGCTGACGAAATCCGCGCGAATTAAAATTTCCGCTCGACGACCACGCGCGCGCGCCTTCCGTCCCGGGGGATAAAAGAAACCATCTTTTGGCGATACACGCCAAAGTCCGCGGCACTGGCTGCGTATAACTGAATTCGTGGAATAATTTGTGAAACGCGTATATATATCAAAGCTCGACGCCAAATACGCATCACGTCTGAAGTTAGACGCTACCGCTGACTCAGCCACGTGCGTCCGACGATGATTCGACGAGTGAGCGTTTCGCACAAAAATTAAAACGAATGTCGCATTGAACTTCAGACTCGAGAGCGTACCTGGCAATGCGATCTTCGCTGATTTTAATTACAAACACACAGGCATACGAAGACTGAAGATATAGGTTCACAAAAATATATATTTTTCTCAGAATTGTCAATGAAAACATATAGCGTTACGTTTCATTAGCGATATCTACGGAATTACTCTTGTTATCTTAAAATAATACTATTACACAGATCACTTGAATCACAGTTTTTATCATCGATAGGGATCGTCTCGTTATGGCTTGCGTACGTTGCGTACATTCTTCCCATTTCGACAAATTAAAACTGCAATAATTCTATCTACGTTGCCTTCTCTCGTGGCAGATAAGATTCAATGTAAAAGTCACGAGAAATAAGCCATATAGATTCGACGGCTTCGCATTGTACTACACGTAACGAATTTTCTTTATTTTTGTAAAGCAACGTTAAAACTAATTGTACAACAAATAAGATATCACAAACACACATTGGATTTCTGCGCATATTTGTTAATTTTTCTTACCGTTACACTATCGTATAAAAAAGCCTTAGGAAAAAGAGATCATATAAGTAAAATGTAACGTAAAAAATATATTAATATGTATTAACCCAGTAAACACCAACTGACGTAACATCAATGTTAATAATTTCCCACTCAACAATATAAATGCAATATAATGCGTGCGTTATGTGACAGCTGTACATTGTTGAGTGAGAAATTATTAATTAATTAAAATTTATATTACGTTACTGATTGAGTTGGTGTTTACTGAGAATATAAATAATAATAATATACATAATTATAGTATATATATATACTATAATTGTGTACGCATGTGTGTGATATATAATTAATGTCATGCTACTTCTCTTTTAAGACATCGCGTCTTAGAATATCCTCTACCTTGCGTTTAAAAAAACGCATAGCTTTATCGATACTCTTTCCAAATGTTTGTATCATATTATCTATAGCTGCATTAAAATTGACTTCGTACTTAGAATCTTTCGGGACTTTTGTCGAATACGCGTTCGAGGCCTGTCGTAGTTTCTGCCGCTCATTAGACCTGCACGAAAAACATTATATATGATTAATTTTATTAACGAATAAATTCAGTAGGCAACGTTTGTTTTTTAATCCTCATGTAAAAATCATACCTTTCGAACAACCAATCCGCACTTTTTATCTGATGGTGATCTTGGTCTGCTGACTCGTCTTTAGACGAATGTTTATAATGGTCTTTGTCCGTCTTTGGTGCGTGTATTCTCGTTTTAATCCGGGGCGATATGTACTTTTCTTTAATCGGCTTATCAGTATTAAAAACTTTTCTGGTAGAATCATTTGATTTGAAATTATTATTTATCTTTGGTCCTTTTACTTTGGTTTTATCTGCGGTAATTTTTCCATAATCTGATGCAGCTCTTATGTTTGGTTCATCAGTAATCCTGTCCACATTATTGTTCAGTGTTTCATCTGTACACTGACCTGTTTGGGTAGGCTGCGAATGATCATTTGTTACTTTATCACAGTATATTTCAATGTCAATTGTTTGAGTATCCCCTGTCTCCAATTTGGTATGCGATATTGAATCATTAGTTTTCTCGGGTTGCCTTTTAATATTTTCATTTGTCCTTGTATTTTCTTTCTTACTTGTTTTGCCATTCAACTTTATTGATGCATTTTTCCGGGAACAATACTTGTCGTAATTACTCAAGAACTGACTCTTTTCAGTTAACTGATCTAAGAATTTGCTATCGCCAGGTAACACATTTTTCAAATAGCACAGTTTTTTAATTAATTTGTGCCTCATTTTATTATACTTGTTATGTACATTCACCATTATGTTGCTTAGTTTCTTTACCAAATCAGTGAGAAGTGAACGAGAGGTATGATGTATTTTATTAATAGCATCTTGTAAAAATCTAATGTATAACATAACAATTTTAACATGTGATAATTCACAATAGAAATGAAAAATTGCATGTCTTATTAGTTATACTTACTGTACGACAGCAGAAACGTTCATACTTTGTCTGCTATCATTAAACGATACTAAAGTTTCATAAAATATTTTTGTATCGTCCACGACATCTAGCGTTTTATTTATCTTATTTTTCAACAGGTCATTGCTGGCATAAATCATATCGTTACTCAGCAATGATAATACATTTAGAGATTCTTGAAGATGATCCAACAGATGTGGACCATTATTAAGAGACTCCATAATAGGTTTATTATTCATTTTATTAGGATAATTAATACTTTTCAGAAGTTGCCAAGTATAATCTTTGTTAAGTTTATTCTCAGTTAAGATGTGTACTTTAATTTCATTTAGGGTTGCATTCACTAAACATAAAGAATTCAATTGAATGACACAAACCATAAAATATACAAGAAATGTTAGCATAGTTTCTCCTAAAGCTTTTAACTTACCTTCCTTAAAGGTATTAATAATATTGTGACATTCAGTTTGGAGGTCTTTAATTCCAACAATATCAATGTTCTCATCATTGGTTGGCCAAAAAGTGAAGTGACTCAAAAAAATGCCAATCATACACCCAAATAAAATATATCTAACCATGTTAAATACCTACATTTATATGTAATTAAAATATTTTAGATATAATATTCTGTTAGTCGTGGAAAAATTAAAATATCTATTATACATATTGGAAATGATCTTAAAATAATAATAAGTAATACCTCGTTATTATTTGGTTCACATAACTGAGAAACGTTTTTGTTATCCCAATAGTCAGATCTTATATTGTAATCTAGTAAAGATGAAATGAAATTTTTACTAAAAGCATATGCATTACTCTTTGTTACATCATTTTGCAATTGTTGACCCTGATGGAGGATTTTGTCAACGATATTCTCAGATTTATATATTTTGTTCTCATCCTGGTAAGTTGAAAAGTCTTGATTAGAAGCATCTGCATCACTCTCTGTTATGACAGATACATCATTAGATGTGTCGTCTGAATCTATATTTTCGCATAATACTCCAATGCAACTATTTGATATCTCTATTATCCGGTTCTTGTTAGATAAATCCTTGAAAGATTAAAATATTTTAACATGCCATTTATCGACTTCCTACTGTAATAACATTCAAATATGTCTGGTGTTGAAATTCTAAATATGGTACTATGTATATATATGTATTAAATTGCACAATTCACCTTCTGCATCTCTGGTAACGGAACAGTTTCATTATTTCGGACTTGTAGAGCTGTCTTGTTTATTAAGACCCAATCGTTTTCATTTACGTTCTCATTTGATTCATTTGTATTTGCGTTATCCATCGTTGCAAAACAGCTCCGACAATTCCTCTCGTCAAACAATATAACCAAATATAACCTCGGAGGAAAGAAACGCGAAATTTGCAAGTGACAATATTTAGGATTGCGTCACGTTTGACTGACGATTCGTCGATGTTTCGACTGAACTAATAGTTAACAGGTAAAAGTATGCACCAATCGAATTTAATCTCTTAAGGAATAAACTCTCCTATTGGATGTCGGATATCGCGCATTGGACACCGCATGCAACGTGAACTGGCCCTTACTTTTTATATTCCCCTCCTCTAAACACCTTTACGGATGTTCAATTATTTCGTATTTATATTCATTCATATCGTCTGAATTTACCATTAAACTTGCTTGTCATTTATCAAGCATTGTTTTAAATACACCGGCTAAAATTAATCGATGTTAATTAATTGGAAGATAAGATTAAATGATAAGATAAACAAAATAAGAGTGTGAGTATACTGTAAAACGTCACATATTTTTGTTCATCAAAATATAATTAATTAAATTTTACGAAATATTGTAGTTATATATATACATAATATAGAGAGGAATCGTCGATATAAAAAGAGTGATAAAAAATAACAAAGGACAAGAGCTAAAATTTGAATAAGACAAAGAACAAAGTGAATTACTGGCACTTTAGAATGACTGAGCATATTTTTCCAAAATTGCGAAATGATCGAATACTTAGAGCAGCACGTGGAGAGCCGGTTGACAGGGTGCCGGTTTGGGTTATGAGACAAGCTGGCAGATACCTTCCGGAATTTCAGGAAGTCCGAGCCCAACATGATTTCTTCACTGTTTGTCAAACTCCAGCATTAGCATGTCAAGTGACTTTGCAACCGATAGAACGTTTTGATTTGGATGCCAGTATAATCTTCTCAGATATTTTAGTGATCCCTCAAGCAATGGGTCTGAAGGTTGAGATGGCAGCAGGTATGGTGAGTATTTTCTTGGAATCATGTATTACACATTGAAGCTAATTGAACAATATTCATTATCATCTGTTAGGGTCCAGTCTTGCCTCAGCCTTTAGCCAATCCAAATGATTTAGCAAGACTCGTACAACCAAATGTGGAAGAAGCTTTAAAGTATGTCGGAGATGCTATAACGTTGACTAGACACAAACTGGATGGGAAAGTACCGTTAATAGGATTTACCGGAGCACCTGTAAGTATTTTTATGCCATTATATAATATTATGCGTAACTGTTAACTTATTCTAGTGGACCTTGATGGGTTACATGATTCAAGGAGGCGGAAGTTCTACAATGGCAAAGGCAAGATCATGGTTGTACAAGTACCCAGAAGATTCTCATAAATTGTTGCAGATGATTACAGATGTAATTGTGGATTATTTAGTTATGCAAGTGAAAGCTGGTGCTCAGGTATAATTAGAAATATATCTTAACACATTGCGGACCAAACATTTTATTGCTAACCGTACCCAGTAGCCGGGTATGTTTTCGCCTCTAACGACGCAATATGAAATACGAGATATCTTGTCATCTGGCCCCTAACGACGAAATAGGAAAGACGAGATATCTCGTCATCCGTCCGCAATGTGTTAATAAAAGCGTCAAAGTATTATTTTGTAAGGAAAAAAATTCTTATAAATCTATCTTCAATTGCATTTATTAAAGTAAACAAGTGATGGTATTATGTTTTCAAGTTACTCCAAGTATTTGAAAGCAGTGGAGATTACCTGGATGATGCTTTGTTCACAAACTATTCCTTTAAATATCTAAAACAAATTAGCAAACGTGTACGAGAACAATTGAGAGAAGCAAATATCCCGGAAGTACCTATGGTAAAATCTGTTTTATTTATAAGTAACAAGTTATCTACAAGCTTTAATAGATAAAGCTATTGAATAAAGTATGCATCTGTTTCTAGATTGTTTTCCCAAAAGGTGCAACTATGAATTCTTTAGGAATTCTTGCAAAAGATCAAAGTTACGAAGTCATAGGTTTAGATTGGACTGTAGATTCTACAGAAGCCAGAGAACGTCTTGGGCCTAATGTCACATTACAGGGTAACATGGATCCTTGTGCGATGTACTCGTCACAGGTAAATTGCATTCCTAGAAAATGGCGAAATATTTACAGATTATAAGATACATTAAACGTACTTTTCATTATATTTAGGATGAAGTTGTTGATCGTGCGCAAAAAATGGTGAAAAGTTTTGGTAAAGATCGATATATTGCTAATTTAGGGCATGGTATCTTACCAGACATTCCCATTCCATCCATGGAGGCTTTTATTAAGGGTGTTCATTCTGTGTAAGCATATTTTTTACAATCATAAACTTGCATAAACGTTATATACATTTGTTACAAATAATTATCGTTATGCTCAGTTGTTTTACCACTTTGTTAACGCGTCTGTTGGAATTTCATAATATTTCCAATGTCAAAAGTATCTTTCGGATATTATTTTTCAATAAAGGGAAATCTTGACTAGTTCGTTCCATTACATTTTTTAAGTAATCATGAAGGATCTGTTCATTTTGAAATTCTTCGTTCAACGTTACTTCACTCTTGAACAACATCTTGTAACGGCCGCTTCTGATATCTTGGAGCATTTTAGCTTTTCGTTGTTTAAAGACTAACGATTGCAAATTCTGCAAATAACCAAGAGTTCTATAATAAGTAATAATTCTGTATCATGTGAAATATGAAAATTAATAATAATTTTGTACGATATACATGATATTTAATAGCCTCAGTTTGTATAATTTCCTGATCTACACTGGGAACAACGTCTTCTATCGTTTTCAACGTTGCACGTGACTCATCACACTTTTCCACTATATCTCTTATCTGATTTTTCAGCTCCTGCATTCTGTTTTCAATTTTTTTAGTGTCCTGCAATAAACGTTAATCGTCAAAAAGTTACATTAGAAAACAAAAATTTATTTCCGGTTTATCGTCAGTAGAAATTGGCAAGTTACCTTCATGATTTGCTTAATCTTCAACTTTTGATCAGCCAGTCGTTTATAGAATATAACTTTCTGATTATGTTGGCCTTTCGGATCTTTCTTAAATTTACCCATAACTTTGTCTAACATAACGTCTCTACGCGCGACACAAAACTCCATGTCGTGTATCAATTTTTCTTGCGCTCTACGCAAGTGCGACAGACGCATTTCCATTTTGTGAATTTCACTTTTCATTACCGCGATATCTCCGTTACTGCGTTCATCTCTCAAGTTTTTTATGGTTTCTTGCATTAATTGCATCTAAAAAAATAGATAATTAAGTCTCTTAAGTTTGCGATCAATATCTTCAGTTTATGTTACCATGTGTGGTAAATGTATACTTATTTATATATATTTCATACTAAATGTAATATTTAAAGTTACTTTCTTTTCCCATGACAAGCTCTCCTGTTGTGCTGTGCCTAAATCGCCCTTCAGAAGTGCCTTATCCTCGTGTAACTGCTTCAGATCGCTTTGTAGCTTTATCAGGTCCAATTCCGCATCTTCGAGAGATTGTACACCCTCGTTTTTTGTGATAAAATTCTTGTCTTCTAATTCCTCTTTCAGGCTTCTCTGAATGACTAACTGCGCATTCATCTGCACCAATCTCTGTTGCAATAGATTCAATATTTTTTCCATGTTCGATTCCTCTTTATCCAGCATTTCCAAGGCATGCTCTATCTTCAGATTCTTCTGCTCCATTATCATGATTTCTTTATTGAGAAGATTGAGCTCCTGCAATTGTAAATCTCTCTGTTGACTCAGTGTGATCATGTGTCCCTCCTGGCGAATCCAGTATTGCTGAGCTTTCTGATTATTCTGTCGCGTCTCTTCAATATTCTTTTCCAAACTGATTATCTTTATGTCGAAAGGACTGATTTCTTCACCGCCCGTATGTGATAACATCTATAAAGAGAAATAGATAAAATGGAGTCTCTATATTAATTTTCGTATTTTATTAGAATTCTCAATAATGTTACATATTACCTCTTCGATGGTTTTATTCAAAGTCACGATTTTTACTTGCTTCCTTTCAATTATTATTTCGTGTTTCTTGATTTCTTTTTGGATCTCGTCTATCTCTTTGCCTCTCGCAGCATTGTTTTGCAAAAGTTCTTCAAATTCCAACTTTTCCTCAGGAATGGTCAAATTGAGTTGCTCCAATTCCAACAGTTTCTTGCCGTATGAGTTCTCAGCCTCCATTAGCAACGATTCTTGTTCTTGCGTTGACTCTTTAGAATCTAGTAATAATTTATTCAAATATCGCGCTGTTTTGTCGTGCGTTACTTTTTCCTCCAATTTGCTGTATATTACATTCTCCAATTCATTGTGCTTATTAAAAAATTTAGCAAATTCTTTATCAATTTCCCCCTCTTCGTATAATAAACATTGCCATTCCTGAAACATAAAGTTAATATCGTACTTGCATAGCTGAATGACTTAATAGAAAATGAAAAAAAGTTTTCCACGACAAATGTGTAAAATTGTTGTACATACGCCATTAATTAAATCAAATTCATATTGTTCCTGTTGACTAAATTTTCCTAATTTTACTAACTCAGATTGCAGGTTGTCAAGTTTGTCATTTTCCATCGCCATCAGTTTTGAATTGGTCTGTATGTTATCTTCTATTCGTATATGCACCGATGTCAAAGTCTCATTATTCTCCGCTTCTTTAAAAGTGTCTTTCTTTAATTTCTCTACTTCTGCGCGTAATGTGTTTAAAGAATCGCATATTTTCCTGGAAAGATACAGGCTGTTTTAGTTTTTCCTTAGCAAATCAGTAAGATATTATATCGAATTATCTTCTTCTATTAAAATATGTGACTTTATCTTTCAGATGGTTTTCTTTTATATCTTGTCATGATTTCATTTATTTGAATTTCTAAAAATTATCACAACGTACTCGCGTTCTGTGTTTAATTGCTCATAAACTTTGTTACGCTTAGTAATATTCAGTATGACAGAGTTCCAAGCACTGCACAAGTTTACATGTTGTTTGTGCAATGCTTCCAAATCGGTGTTAACATCGGTGATCATCTGACTTATTTCAATTTTTTCCTTATTTTTTAGCTGCAACTGTATATCAAGATTAGCTATCTCAGTTTTAATTCTCCATACTTCCTCCATGAGTTTATATATTATACAGTCCTTCTGCTGTTTCTGAGTGATCAGTTCTTGCTGAATTATCCTATCCTTCTTTGATACTTGTTTGGAAATAGTCAAGTTACTTTCTAGCTCAGCCTGCCATTCTGAGAATCTCGCTTGTAAAGCTGTGAATTGTTCTAATTCATAAGTCAGACTCTCCTCTTTCTTTTTCTCATCAAGCAATTTAGCATGAGTGATCTTGTGAAAATTCTTTGCATCTTTCACATATGCATCTTTCTCTTCACGCAGTGAAATCACATTGGCTATCGTGCTTTGGTATTTCTCAATTGACATTTGTTGCTTTGTTATTTCTTGCTGAGCATTATACAGCTGCAAGCCTATAGCTTCACGTTCCTTCTCGATAGATTTTATCTGAGCTTCCTGGAACATTTACAATTTATATATGAAGAAACAATGATTGTATTTCGCGAATTCGTGTCTTGTAAATTTAGTTAAGAATACAGAGAAGAACCCAGGTACAACTTACAAGTTCTAATATTTCATCGCTCAACTTCTTGTCAACACGGGTAAGATGTTCCTGCAGGGCATCTTGGAATTTCTTCATTAACGAGTCATCTGGGTTCAGAACATTCAGCACCTGCGCAGGCTTCTTGTCTACCCACAATTTTTTGGTGAACTTCGTTTCCGATTGCTCTCTATCAGTGTTAGATAAATCATCGCGAGATAAAATCGAGTCGTTTGTAAGCGACATGCTCATTGTGAAATGCAATGTTTATGACGTGTTAAATGTCAAAGAGGAAAAAATCCCCTGCCAATCTTTTGCGATAATATTGCAGTCTTTATTTTAAAAAAAGACAATTCTCTATGTCTTGAAATAAAAATGCCTCGCAACGAATCGTTTCGCGTCAGACTGTTGTTGATTCAAACCAAATCCGTAGCTAAGGAAATCACACGATGGGTCTTTGCGACACCGCCAGATGGCGCCAGCCAGTTTGTCAGCCGCTCGTCGAGTCTTATTTTTATTGCATAAATATACACAGAAAGCTATTAGGAACGAATAAGTAGCTCACGAGTGCGGTTAAAAAGAGCAAACCTAAGGTGAAAGAGAGAAACTTTTTTGAGCGCACTTCGTCGTTGGTAGACGACTTATTATCGGCGCAGTTGTCACACCGTCACGTTTGACACACCTCATTTCGCCGTTGGTTTGTTATGACAGTTTACGAGTCACGCTACTGTGTCGTGCCAGAGTTCGATAAACGACCTGATCAAGATAAGGAAAGACACAGATCGTGATTTCGAGGTTATTACAGAGCTCACGTACAATGACGGAGCGTTACATTTATACTCGTTGACATTTACGGAGCGACATGCATAACATGTTCGCCGAGGATGAGAATATGGAGCAGAATTGCCCGGAGAAGAAAACCATAAGATTCCGCGGTACCGGCAAGTCCAAGGGACATGTATCACCTAATAACAAACGGGTGGAGAATGTCGAGTCTCCGCACTGCAGGGAAGAGTTACCGGAGGCGGAAGATTTGAAAAAGAAACAAGGTATTTGTATTCACTTGTTTGTAAAGAGTATCTTACAGTCAAAGTCTGAGCTTTCACGAGTAATTATTAAAGTAACATTATATTTGATTATATAGGTTATATAATTTCATGTTGAATATATCTTGCATCTCCAGGTGTATCGTTGATGCAATTTTTAAGGACGGAATTAACGAGAGGCTATCAGCTGGAACACGATGAGGAAAGATTCTCAGCTAGGAGGGAGAAGATTTATTCTTTTCTACAAATACCCAAAGAAGTGGAAAAGTTTATGCTTTATGGTTTCCTTCAGGTATAATTAAATACTAGTCTTATCAAAAGGAGCAAAGTAGCACATAATATATTTTTCTGAGATACCTTAGAGCTAGTTTTATATTATTTTCGTTTCCGTAGTGTGCAGATTCTTTCCTCTTTGTGTACACATTTTTACCATTGAGATTCACAATGGCTCTATGGGCGGTGATTACGAGGCCCTTGCGACATTGTTTGAGGTACATATATAAGTATCCATTTGTCAGAACAATTCGTTTCTCAAATATTCCGTTAAATATTCCGACTCTTTTTCTACTGTTTCTCCTTGCCTTATTTACAGAAGTGGGAAGTTTCGTGCGAAAAATACAGGAAAGTATCTAAGTCCGGCGGAAGTGTGTGATTTACTGAAAGGAGTTGTAGTGGTAGGTTGTTGGGCAGCCACCTGGAAAGTAGACACCTCCATGATGTATCATTTAGTTAAGAGCCAGTCGGTTATAAAATTGTACATATTCTACAATATGTTAGAAGTAGGAGATCGTCTTTTCAGCGCTTTCGGCCAAGATACTATAGACGCTCTGCTTTGGACTGCCACAGAACCGCGCTCGCGTTCGTCCCGTAGGCAGCACTTGGGTACACTGCCGCATCTCTTATTCGCCGTTGTTTATGTGCGTATCCTTTGAATAATTCACGAAGCGATCGTTGCGTGATTTCACCAGAGATAAATTCAGATGACGATTGCACATATGTGTACACCTTAACCACGAATTTCCATGAAGTGTTGCACAGTATTTTGGTGTTGTTCCAAGCTACAACACTGAATGTAGCGATCAATAGCAGTAACAAAGCTCTCCTCACGATTATGATGTCCAATAACGTGAGTGTGCGCCTTGAGGAGAAGGGATCTCTCCCTTTCGCACGGAATATCTCATCAATCAATTTTTTATCACTTTCAGTTTGTAGAACTGAAGGGCTCGGTCTTCAAGAAATTCGACAAGAACAACTTGTTCCAATTGTCTTGCTCGGACGTTCGAGAGAGGTTTCACTTGACCATGCTGCTGCTCGCAGTGAGCTTGCAAACGATGAAAGAGTACGCATGGCACAGCGACCGTCTTGCTGTTCTGTTGCCCGATTGCGCGTTGGTGTTGTTCGCTGAAGTCCTGGTTGATTGGGTTCGCATCACATTATGGAAAAAAAAGATAGAAAATACACACGGCATAGAACAATATATCGATAAGAACTTTTTATTTGTCGCCGTACTAATAATACTGTTTTCTTGAAGGTGAAACATGCGTTCATTACACGTTTCAACGAGTTGCGCTCGACAGTCTATCGAGACTACACAGTGAGCCTCGCGTACGACATGGCGCAAACTCGAAAGGAGACAGCGTTCTCGGATCCCTCGGACTTGGTGGCACGGCGAATGGGCTTCATACCTCTTCCGCTGGGCGTAGCCATGGCGCGCGTCCTATGCACAACCGTGACACCATCTGCGAGACCGGCGAATCTGATACTTCTGCTGTTAGCTTACTTCATACTGGTAGCTCTCCGCATACTGAACAGTATCGTCATTCTGGGTAGAGCGTGCGACCTGATGTCGTCGCGCACGCACGCCGAGAAGGAGGAAGCGAATTTAAAACGTCCGCCGCTAACGAAACGTGCTAATAGCGTCGACATGAAGAAACCAAATCTCGGCACAGCTATCTTCTCCAACAGTGCTGTCAGCTTGAACAACGTCTGCCTGAACGAGGCGTTCCTCCAGGAGGAGGCGGCGCCGGTGGTGCCGCCGACGGCGGCGGCACAGAAAGCTGAGAAACTCGCGTGTAATGTGAACGATCTTCCGAGCGTGACGAAAACCGTGCTAAGGACAGGAAGCGAGCCCCTTCTCCCACAATGACGTCACTTCATAGTACAATTTAAACGCAACGGGTTTTCTATTTATGAATTGTACATATTTTCCGTTGTACATATACACATGTGAGTATCGGTTCTGTGCGTCTCGTTCTTCTCTCTCTTGCAGTAATACTTACCAGTAATGTTTCTATGTACATGTGTATAAAGGGTAATAATACATTTGGTTACTATTTATTCGTACATTTCGTCGTAAAGGGACATGTGTTCCTTTCTTTTCTTAACCTTTTTAATTCGCGTCCATTTACAGGTCTTGTCTTTTTTCATGCGATGTATCCGAGGCACGCACGTTGGCCCGGATAAGCTGAAACGTGGTCTACAATGGATGGTAGGAATATGTTCATAAGAAGTAAGAGTAAAAAATTAATCAATTATAGTCCATTATTCTCCTTACATTCGAGTATGATTGGTCAATTTCTTAATCTAAAACGTGGTCTGCAATGGGCAGTAGGAGGAGTATGTTTATAAGTAAGAGTAAGAAATTAACCAATCATAATCGATCATTTTCTTTACATTCGAATATGATCGGTTAATTTCTTACTCTTACGAATTCTTACTGCCCATTGTAAACTACGCTTTATGAACATACTCTTACCGCCAATTGTAAACTAGGCTTCAAGGAATGCTACAATTCCTCCCCGTCCCTACTTGATCGACATGCGCGAGCGACGGATCCGTTATCAGTGGAGCGCCGCGACTCGAGCCCCACGACACGTCAGCAGTCGCAACTACCGAGCTACCGGCGTGGTGGCACACGAGTAAGCCTCGTCTCTCTCTCCCCCCACCCCTCTCTCACTCTCTCTCTCTCGCTCGCTCGCTCATTCCGTCCTCCTCCTCCCGTAGCGTTCGGTCTCGTTCGCCGTCTCGCTCGCGAGCGCGACAAGCGCGGGACGTTACGGAGGCGGTGGAGGACGTCGGTCCTCCGCTCTTCGGGAGCGCGAATCACGCGAATCCGCGATAGTGACGAGCGACAACCTCCTCCTCGTCCGGAGCGCCGCCGTAGCTGCTCCGCGCATGGGTCGTTCTTCTCTCGCACTCCTCGCACGCGTACCGGTTGAAGCGAGTTGAATGGACGAGGGTACCAAGTACAGAGTGCCGATCGGCGACGCCTGCGTGTCTATGCGCGTGTGCTTCGACTCGCTGTGCTTCTCGTCGACGCAGCAGCGGCTCGCCGACGAGGAGGACGCCGACGGCGCCGCAGCCGCCAGCTCGCCGCCGTCGGCGCAGCTACCGACGACTGTCGTCGCGGCCGTCGCTGCCGTCACCACCGCTGTCAGCAGCGTAGTCAGCACGAGCGTGCCGCAAGTCACCGTGCCGCACATCGGAGGTGTCCTCCCGGTCGCCAGTATGAGCACCCTCAGGGAGCTGCAGGAGCTGCTGCGCGCCAAGGACGAGCGGATCGCCGAGCTCGAGACGACGCTGTGCCGCCGGGACGCCGAGATCCAGGAGCTGCGGAGCCACCTCGACAAGTTCCTCAGCGTGCTGCCGTTCAAGTCGCCGTTGACCCCGACGAAGCCGCGGCCGCGCAAGCAACGTGCCCAGGGTATATCAGCGGAGCCGCCGCTGCAGGAGCTCGCGCCCCTCAGGCTGGTCGACAAGAGCGACAGGTTGGTGCTTACTCACCTATCTATCCACGCGCTTCTGTTTTTCCGCCTTTATTACGCGCGCTCGGTGTGTACGCGCCTGAACTGCACGAGGAGGTACCCGCTCGCTCTCGTCCTCCTTTTCCTCGCCTGCCGTCTTCTCCTGCTGCCGGTCGCCGCGGAAGCGTCTTTCAAAACGCGGGTATTTTTAACGCGTCGCGACAGCGCCTGCCGGCTTGGTGCCGCGATGACACCTCCTCTCCTTTCTCTCTTCATCATCCATCTGTCCGCCTATCCGTCTCTCTCACTTAGCACGCGCAGCTCTTAGCGTGACTCGGAAAATTACACGCACCATCAGCGGAGAGCGAATTAAAACCGATGACGGGAGGATCTGCACAAAGCAGCACACTCACCTTCCGCGTACGATCGTTGATCCGAATCAGATCGCCGGCTAACCCGGCGGAGATCTCGAGATCGACACGCGTAATCGGTAACCGCGCGGCCTCCTCCGAAGGTGCGAGCGAACGAGGATTTTCACGATGTTTGTTCGTTTCAACTGAACTGGATCGCACTTTTCGCAGCTTAAAGTAGGCTTGTTCTTCGCTGGACTGGTTGTACCAGCTTGTCTAGTTCCCTTCTCCCCTTTCTTACCACCGGGTCTTAACTGTATATCTGTCTCTTATTAAGTTCTATGTGGGAAAAAGTGAGTCTTATATCAATCAATAATAGATATTCTCATGTATAAGCAAGAATATTATAATCTTCTTATAAGATTTTTAGCTTCGATTTGATTGAATTTGTATGACGCAAATATTACTTTGTATGATGCAAGTATTACTACACTCAATTCAAGACTAGGAATCTTCTAAGAATATTACTACTACTCTAAGAATATTTCCGCTTGTATGTGAGAATATCTATCATTGATTTAACACTTCTTTTTCTGTGACTATTTTTTTTTTACAAGTGTACACTTCAGTTTACACTTTAGTGGAAAAGAACAGACAACAAAGCAAAACGTGTATATAATCTAGCGTCGAGGGAAAAAGAAACGAAGTTCAATGCAACACCAGTTCAGCTAGAACGAACAGACGTACGGAGAGGCGTGTTGTTTTCACTCGTGTCTCTTTTCTTTCGCTCTTGTCAAGGCGACCGATCGTAACGGACCGAACTCACCGATTTCGATCTGTATTTCTCTTTTTTTCTCGCGCCTCTGTACACGTTTTTACATATCGACTGTTTGTCGCGATGTCGCGCGCGCGCACATCTTAGGACACCGGTTCCTCGTGGCCGAAACGACGACGTGTTTGCCATGTGGTCCGCTCGTTTCCTCGCGTTGCATCGCGAAGAGACCGCCTTTCTCCGTGCTTTTGCATTCGCGTTATGCGCTAAAATAGGTACTTTCACTGTGGCCACCGGCGGGGATCACTTTCAATCGCAGCCTCCGAGGCGCCACGCGGATCCCATCGAATCCCCGACGTCTTCTTCGTGACTTATCCCAATTCGAAGGCTTGGCTTTATGTTAGTCCTGCAAATTCCGCCGAATTTTAGACCTTGTTAGTTGCAATATGCAATAGACATCGTACTAATATTTGTCAGTTTGCTCTTCTTCTTCATTGTTTTTTATGTACTTTAGTGACTGTATATTAGCCAAGTGCTAATGAAAGGAAAATCGTTTCAAGGAGCGGATGAAAATAGTGTACGGGAAAATTAGTGTAACAGTAAGATATATTGTAACCATTCATGGGTGAAAAATCTCGCAACGGAGGGTTAATCCGATTAAAATTCATTCAATCATCTGCGAATGGTCTGCCTACATATATAATCTTTAATCATCTGTTTCAATGAGCAATGCATTGATTATGTAATTTACTCAACTGCTGATAGAGAATTGCGATAAGCGAACATTAAATAATTAATGAGGATTAATCCGGTAGTAAGTGAAGCGCGAAAAATTTGCTTCTCCCGACATTTCTTTATTATTATATTTTCGTGGACGTTATTACTTGTTGAAAACTTCGATGACTACGAATTGAAAATATACGCGAGAAAAGGAGTTGTAAGTCTCATTTCGTAGACGGCATTCCGCGTCCGTTTCTACCCTTGGGACAGAGACTAAAGAAATCCACTGAGGAAAATTTTGGGAATAACCGGTTTTTCCGAACCTCTTGTGCCTTCAAAACTATATCTAAATGCAACACAGGATAGTCGCGTGAGTGTCCTTCATTTTAACCCTTAAATGCATCATGATGTAGTTCTGCATCGTATGATTTTTTAGCTCATATCTCAATAAATAGCAACCCTGTTTCAAATTCATTCAAATTATTTTATAAAAAAATAAAAAATAATGCATTTAAGGGTTAAATTGACATTTTCAATACAAAAATCGCTTTAGAAAATAATAATATTTAATATTTAATTATATGGAAATAACAATCATTTCGTCCAGGAGTGAGCTCCTGGTTGTCTTCTTCGTGGCCAGGCGCTCGATGGTGTCGTACGAAATGCAAATCGATCGGAAACGCGACGTTAATTAACGATCGTACATTAATCAACAACACGATACGTGCATACAATTGTCCTGATTAATTTATAATTAACGATTTGATCATTTAAATTTAATTAATTCATTCGAAAATGCGGAGTATTTCGAAAGCATTAATTTTCTTTTTTCGGCCACGGAGTATACATTCCGCATTGTCCGACGGTAGTTCGCGCAAGATAACTGTCCCTCTCGAAGGAATCAATTGTTTTGGGATTGCTGCGTACTTGCCCATACATGTCCGCACATGGCCGTACATGTCCGTGCCGGACGAATGACGCACGCGCACACACTCACACATACACACCGTGACGCGAGCTACGTATTATTTACGATTCCCGCCGGTCGAACGAAACATTTCGTCGCCTATTAAAATATTTCGTCACGTTCTCGTTGGCGTCGCGTTAATTAACGTACGTTCCTCCGATCGAACCGCGTCTGCCGAGAGCGTCTAGCGAGTTTCCTGTACGACGAAGCAACCGGAGCAAAATGCCGAACGGAAGGAAAGCCTGGACGCGAACAGAGCGATGTATTTCCAAGTGTGCGAAATTATCTATTACGCAGCCCGAGTCGAAATCTCGCCTTCTATGTTAAATCTACAATCCTGGAGTAGTCGCTCACCTAAATGTATAGTTTTGAAGGCTCGAAAAAAACTATTTTTTCCCCAATTTTTCCGCGGATTTTCTCGGTTTCTTGTCTTCTTTACGGCGAGAAATAAACACGACAGGTTTTAACCGGACATACCGTGAATTCTTCTAAATGGATTCTTCTACCCTTGGGACAGAAACTGAAGCAATCCACGGAAAAATTTGGGAAAAACCGGTTTTTCCGAACCTCTTGAGCCTTCAAAACTATATCTAAACGCAACATAGGTGGTCGCGTGGGTGACAAGTGTCCTTCATTTTAAATTGACATTTTCAATACAAAAATCGCTTTAGAAAGTAATAATATTTAATATTTAATTATATGGAAATAACAATCATAAAAGATCTCATTTAAAACGGACAAGATTACAGTCTTTGAACTGATAAATATACGGAGACGGATGTTTGTTAGTA